TAGGCAGTCTTCTATGGCTTGGGAGGAGGGTTGTGATTTGATAAAACTAGCTTTTTAATAACGTTAACAGTTGATGTGGGTAGAGTGTAGGAATTTGGGAGGTACTTGGGAGAGGCACATAGAAGATTGATATAGTAGTCAAAGCATAAAAGGTCAGGACCCAGACTCAAGTGATAGCCCCAGAAATTGAGTTGAAGGAACATATATATGTAAGAGATATTTCAAAGAGATGACAGATGGGCCTTCGAATAAGATGCAAGGACAGGATCTATGGGTGACTAAAAGATGGGGAATATAGAAGAGGGGATAGGCTTTAGAGCCATAAGAGGTCTTGACATGTTAACTTTGTATGAGCTGATGGCAAGATAGATAGCCAGGTGTAGATGTTTTGTAGTCAGCTAAAGATGCCTGGGTGAGAAACTTAAGATGGAGAGGCAACAGTGTAGAACAAGCATGTCAAACTTAAAGGCTAACATGGGCCAAATAAACAAAGTTTGTTTATGTGGGCCGCAAAAAAACAAAAGCTTCAATTTTCATAGAAACGTAGGTTTATTTCCATAGAGACCTGCTGAATACAAAGGGCTAACATAAATGAGTAATCATTAACATAAAATAATAGAATATTTTAATAAAAATTAATATTTTTATTGAACATTAACTTACCAGACAGTGAATAACTACACAAATTAATAAATGTAATGCAAATAAACCTATTTTTCTTGTTCTCCAAAAGCAAAATATTTCCTGTTGTGCACACCAAACAAGTCAGTCCAAGACTAATGATGTGGCAATCAGTTGCTAAAATATTTGCTGCTAGTATTAGTGGAGAGAAATGGTGCAGCTGTGTGTAAGGTGTGTAAGGGAAATGAATGCAACACGATTATAGTGATCAGTCATTAGCAAACGTTGTAGTTCATTACTAATCATTATGTATAACAGGATATTGTAAAAATTAAGTTCCAAAATTTTTATTAAAATGTTTCTTACATACCGTTATATTGGCTGGACTGCAAAAAATATTCGTTGTGGGCCGCATGCGGCCCACAGGCCGGGAGTTTTACATGCTTGATGTAGAAGGACTATATGAAACATGAATGAGGCAGGATACATTCCACAAGGGAAAGAATTAGGAAGATAGGGGAAAGATTTATCAGAGAGAGGGGCAGAGAAACAGAATAGAGGAGGTGATAAGTTTCTGGAAGGAAGGAAGGAATATTAACAGTTTCAAGTGTAGTCAAGGGCAAAGAGAATAAACATTAGTAAATTGGCCCAAGGAGCTATATAATAAATCCAAATACCTTAATAAACCATATTTACTTTTCTCACTAGTATTGTTCCTTACTTGTATATACAGAAATGTTTCAAGACTTCTTTTATTCAATAGCATTCAAGTTCAGAGTTTGGCTCTTGGTTCTAAGTTTACTGAACTACTCAAACTTCAGGGCAGGGTATAAATAATGAAAGAGTAATAGCCACGAAATAATATTCTAATCAGGTGAATATAGTTTGAGATGCAGAACTCTACTTTTTCTACAACATCTGGCACATCAGCACAAAAGTCTTCTGGTTAAGCCCCCAGTGGCTGATTAGGCAGTATCTCCATTCTTTCTCTGAAATCTACCCCTTACCAACCTAACTAAGCAGAAAGAAAAATAAAAGCTATCTGGCTATGGCAGGGGAGTGGCTTGAGGAGAATGGGAGATCTGGATGCAATGGAGACTGCACCATTAGGTGAAGCACAAGCTGATACATAAAACTCCACAAAGGTGGTATGGTGCATTCAGGGTTTTCACAAAATCACTTCTGCTTCCCCTACAGATTGTGGATTAAGATAAACTAAATGGATACTGTGGAGTACATTGAATGTCTTTCTTTTCCCTACAAGAAAAATATTTATCAAGAGATTGAGAAAGTGAAGGTGGCAAATCAGTTTCCGGAGGCCACTGTGATAGCGAAGGATTATCCTGTTGCTTTTTCAGGCTTCCCACCATCTTTCCTATAGGTCAGTGATGGCGAACCTTTGGCTCGGCGTGTCAGCATTTTGAAAAACCCTAACTTAACTCTGGTGCCGTGTCACATATAGAAATTTTTTGATATTTGCAACCATAGTAAAACAAAGATTTATATTTTTGATATTTATTTTATATATTTAAATGCCATTTAACAAAGAAAAACCAACCAAAAAAATGAGTTCGTGTGTCACCTCTGACACGCGTGTCATAGGTTCGCCATCACTGCTATAGGTCTATTCATTTTAGGTCACCACTCCTCAAACTCCACCCCCAAAATATACATACTATCTCAAGTTCCATCAACTAAGAGTTCCAACAATTCCACATCTGTCCCTAAGTAGGAGCATAACTGTGAGACATCAAAGGCTAAAGTGTTTAACAAATGCACTATAATATTCACCTAAGTAGTCAGTGAAATAATAAAAATGGTAACATTGGGGTAATAAATTTTATTCATTGAGTGCTTGCTATAATACCAAACACTGTTATATCAAAAGCAACTATAAACAAAAGCAAGACAAGTCTTAAAAACATGCCTCCAGGGCATATATCATAATGAGAAAATACCAGTGAGAAGTTATTAAAAGGAATGTTGTACCATGATTGATAGTAGCTCATTACTTAAGACTCTGGAATAGAGACAGACCTGGGTTACTATTCAGCTGTGCTGCTTAACCTCTCTGGGCCCCGGTTTCCTTATCTGTTAAATGGGGATAATAATAGTACCTACAACGTCAGATTGTTGAGAAGATAAATGAAATATGCACTTCATATTCATTGGCACACTGCCCTGTGCATAAGTATTACTCAATAAATGTCAGCTACTATCATCATTAGAAAGCTATTATATTATTGTTCATTATTTCAAGGAAGTATAGCTATAAATCAAATCATATCGGTAAAAGCTAAATAACACCTTTGACTCTAAGATGGGTTTTAGGAGGAACCAAAACTAGGGCATAAAATAGTTCTACCTCCTATACATGCTATTCATCAGCACATCTCTACTTTCACTCAGCCTCAGAATTAAGCACCAATATTATTCCTTAAAGGGGAGCCATTACAGTAACAAAAAAATCACACAGTCACTTCTGCAATCCTTAATCCACATCTGGCCACCTTTCTTCAATGACTATTCTCAAAACCCTTGATGAGTAGGACTATTTTATTATTCTGATTTCCCCTTGGGCCAGGTCTTTCCGGGTATCACTTTAAGCCCCTCTAGTAAAGTGTGGTCCAGAAAGTGTGTTCAATAAACATATGGTAAGTGAGTACTTAGAATGCTGTACAACCACTGTTAGACTTATCTACCAGAAACACCATTTTGATCATATCGCTACATTGCTGATAACCATCAGACCAACAGTTATCAGTAGGGTAGAAAGAGATTGCCCAAAGAAGCAAGAGGCATTTTATAGATTGACTAGAGCAGGGGTCCTCAAACTATGGCCCGCGGGCCACATGCAAATACAAATATTGTATTTGTTCCCGTTTTGTTTTTTTACTTCAAAATAAGATATGTGCAGTGTGCATAGGAATTTGTTCATAGTTTTTTTTTAAACTATAGTCCGGCCCTCCAACGGTCTGAGGGACAGTGAACTGGCCCCATGTTTAAAAAGTTTGAGGACCCCTGGACTAGAGGCTCGGTGCATGAAATTCGTGCACTGGAGAGGGGAGGAAGGTCCTTCAGCCCAGCCTTCACCCTCTAGCAGTTTGGGACCCTTTCGGGGGAATGTCCATCTGCCGGGGATCGAGCCTAAGCCAGCAGTCGGACATCTCTCTTGCAGTCCGGGACCCCTCACTTCTTACCACCCACCTGCTCACTGCTCCTTACTGCTCAGCTCGCTGCTCCTTAGCACTGCTGTGGAGGTGGGAGAGGCTCCCACTGCACTCACCAGCAATGAGCCCGACCTCCAGCTGAGCAGTGCTCCCCCTGTGGAAGCGCACTGACCACCAGGGGGCAGCTCCTGCATTGAGCATCTGCCCCCAGGTGGTCAGTGCACATCATAGCGACCAGTTGTTCTGGTCATTCTGCCATATGGGTCACTTAGGCTTTTATTATATAGATGGAAATGTTCTGCATCTTATTTACATGAATGTACAAAGATATAAAAATGCATCAAGTCTTTAAGATTGATGTATTTTACTGTATATTAATTATACTTCAGTAAACAAAAAAAGGGAACACACATACACTGCTCTTGTAAAAATATGATTCTATTATATTATAAAACTTAAATCTAAGTGAAAATGCTGGCTGTAATAAATATTAAACATATCAAATTGTTATGGGGATCACCCTCTGGAGAAGAGTAGTGAAAATGGGAGGGAAGGACTGGGTAGCTTTCACACTCATGTATTACGTGAACTCACCACCCCCCTCCAATTTATTGAGTACCCATTAAAATCTAGACACTCCTTAGGTACATGGGGTCAAATATAGAGAAGTGCAAATGTGTGCACTTAAAGAGCTCATATTAGGGATACATGAACACTATCACTATATAACATGTTAACTGCTATAGTTAAGGACTGGACAAAGTGTTAAGAAATCGCAATGTGAGTTTTTACACTGTTTGGAGTAGGGATAGGGCAGAGCAGGATGACTTTTGAGAATGTAGAATGAAGAACTGAGGCACGTCAGGCCAACTAGTGTGTCCCAAGCAGTGGGAAAAACACATGCAATGGCACAGAAGGAAGAGGCAGAGTGAGTTGATGGCCTAATTTCTTATCATGGTTGGCACCTGAGGTCCAGAAGAGAAGAAAGTGGGGAGATACTATTGAAAAAGTATGATAAAAGATCATGAAGGCTTTAGAGGTCAGGTTAAGGAGTTGGGTTTTTATTCTGAAATGTAATGGAAGGCTACTTAAAGATTTTTAGTAGACTTTCTATTTTACTTTATTGTATTTTAAGAATTATCAATTTAGTGGCATAAACATGGAGGAACTTCAGTATAATCATATTTTCTTTATCAATTTATCCATCAGTGAACACTTAGATTGTTGCCATATCTTAACTATTGTAATTAATGCTGTAGTGAACAAAGGGGTACATATATAATTCAAGTTTGTGTTTTCATTTTCTTCAGATAAATACCCAGAAGTAGAAATGCTGGGTTGCATTGTAGTTCTGTGTGTGTGTGTGTGTGTGTGTGTGTGTGTGTAGTTCTATTTTTAATTTTCTAGGAACCTCCATATGTTTTTTTTCTGCAGCGGCTGAACCAATTTACATTCCCACCAACCGTGCACAAAGGTGTCTTATCTTGACAGCCTAACCAACACATATCTTGTCTTTCTTATGATAGCCATTCTAACAGGTGTGAGGTGATACCTCATTGTGGTTTTGATTTTTAACCCTCTAATGACTAGTGATATTGAGCATCTTTTCATGTACCTGTTGGGCATCTGTATGTCCTCTTTAAAAAATGTCTATTCAGATCCTTTGCCCATTTATTTTATCCATTTTTTTTGCTATTGATTGAGTTGTATGAGCTCTTTGTATATTTTGGATATTAATCCCTTATCAGATATATGACTTGTAAATATTTCCTCCCATTCAGTAGATGGCCTTTTAATTTTGTTGATGGTTTATATCCTCTTTTATTATTTCAAAATAACTATCATCATATGCTTCAAATGGCCAATGAGGAAGGTGAAAAGGAAGCAAGATCATAAAAGAAACAATTCATCATAAAAGTCAATGCACTGCCTTTGTGGCATTTTAAGTTTTAAATGCCCCTTCCATTCTCTCAGGCTGCTCTCACAGGCCATATTGCTACTGTTTCACCCAAAAGCACTTCTTTGGCTTCCAACCACAATTAAAGACTCCCCTAAAAGTAGCTCCTTTTCCAAATAACACCCATAAAATATACTCAAGGGCATATGAAAATGTTATATTTTAGTTAAAATACCAATAAATGTTAGGAACCGAGATCATAAAAAAAGTTTACCTCCTAAATCTATAAGCCAAAATGCTACTTTTTACTGATACATGTTGACAAAGGCATGCAGATAACAGTAAGCAAAGCTAAAGGACTTGAAAAAGCAAAACTTAAGGGAAATTTTCACTTTTTCAAATGCTCTGTGTTTTCAAATTACAGACTTAGGATGTTTCTTCGAAACAAGTCTTCCTATTTAAAAAAAATCCTTCTGTCCACTATTTATACATGTGTTTCGCTATTTCTAGAAAAGTGACTTGCTTTTATGTTTAAATAGCATTTCTTCCAATCAAAATTAATTTTAAGAAACTAACTGCTAACATCAAACTATTTTGATTCTTTTTATTTTTTATTGAACGTATTGGGGTGATGGTTCACTTTCTTCTTGATGCCTTTAATTCACCCAAAGTCAGTGGTAGTGACAAGTTTATCTCTGCTATTCAGTGAATAAAAAGAAAGTTTGATTCATAGCAAAACAAAACATATGAAAAGACAGCAGAACCACTGACAAAACTATTAACTACTATACCAAAACCCCACTTTTAAAAACCATGTTTTAGTCTTATAAAGATACACTGGAAATTTTAAAATATTAGTCTCATCCTAGCATACACTACAGATACCATTGTATAAATGTAGTGTTAACATTTGTGACACTGTGTGTATAAAACTTGTCTGCAAAGCAACACTTCAAACAGATGTAGCACAAATGCTTAAATTTCATATGATTTTTATATGGTCCCCCAATCTAACTTAATTCCATCCATACAAAGCTGACTGCAAGTAACAGGTATGACTAATTTTAAAAGAGCACATATCCATGTCCTACGGGGTGTGCAGCAAGAAGTTACTAAGTCCTAGGTGAAATACTATATTCACATACTCAACAGTATACATTAGTGAAAAGTTCCAGTCACAGTAACTTTTCACAACAAGATTTATTGTCAGAGCTTGTAAGTGGATATACTGGGAATAGTTCCATGCCTATTAGGGGAAAAACCTCCCAACTAAATGCACAACTTATGCCTGTAGCAACACCGACAGAATTGAATCGTCTAGTAGGAAAAAACCCTTTCATTTTGCAGTGTTTACAGTTGAATATAACCAAGACCCCCAAAATAAGCAGTTATTTTGAGAAGAGATCAAAACAATTGCCCTCCAACCATAGAGAAATTGAAAAATACGTTTCACATTATTCTGCATAAAAATAAGCTACAAATCAAACCTTAACATCACTTTGCTGAAAGGACCTGAGGAACTAAGATGTCTGCTGACAATCAAAGAAAAAACTATTTGATAATCAGTGTGACAGAAAACAGACATTTATGGCTCCTAGCTATGAGCAAATGAAAGACTAGACTAACTTTTAAGAAAAATTCCCCAGCTGTTCTAAAATTTCAGACCTTCCAAAATGGCTAGATCCTAACAGCAAAAGAACAAATAGTTACCACATGCTGAGGGGAGGGTTGGGGGTAAGCAGGAGGGAGTGGTTGAAAGAGACTCAGAAAAAGAAAATGCTTCCAAACGATGGCATATCATTAGTAATTCAGGTATAGATAGCAACATGACAAGAACATCATTAAGATCATTAACCATTTCCTAGAACATGTAATTATCATATAAGATTAAAATGAAAAACCTGAATAACCTTGGAAAAACATAAAGACTAAAAACAAAATAATTTATGATTGGTAATTAAAGGTATTACAGAAAGTATCTTTCCATACCTGGCCTACATAAGGAAAAAAGATCAAACTCAAATGGGAAGAATGTTGTTTTTTACTTTAGGAAAAAATGAAGTATGTAAGATGGCAGGATAAAAAGAGCTATCAGATGGAATTTCCACTAAAGACAATATTCAACTTTCCCCCTCTGTTCACAGAACTATCTTGAGCCTCTAAAATACCATGGATAAATTACACAGCCACTAAAAATTTTAAGTATGAAGATTATGTGGCAGCCCAGAAAAATTCATGGGACATTATAGGTGGAAAAAGCAGAACACAAAGTAATATGTACACTGTGATTACAATTCTAGGTAAAAAGATGTGATGATGGTTGTTAAGGGGGGTGGTAGTGAGACTTTCTTTTTCCTTTCCAAAAATTTTGTAAATATTGCCATGAAAGTTTTATGGGTCAAAACCCATTTTTATTTTTTAAAAATTTCTGGTGTCTGTATCTATGAGTTTGTTTATGTTTGTTCAAACCCCTTTTTAAATTATGTGTCTTGGCATTCAGAAAAAATGCTGAATAAGTGGTTCCTTTAAAGAAAAGAAAAGGCACATTGCTTTGTAGTGTATCCTTTAAGTGGCCACACTGTAAATGTTGGGTTCTTATCTGTATTAGTACTCAAGGGGTGTGGACCTTCAGACTTAGGATGTACAAACATCTGCTCTTCTAAGTGGAAGAAATGGTCACACCCTTTTGGAAAAGACATTTTTTAAAAGATTATGGCATTTGGAAAGATGTCTACTTGCTCCATTTTTCTAAATAGATAAAACCAAAACAAAAAAGAAAGTGTCAAAACCAGAAGTTTTTAAAGGGAACCTACTAATCAAACTGTTATTGGGAACTAAGAATTACAAAGTTAAAGCCTCCCTTTTTGTCTATTATTTTCCCCCTTTGGTTTTCTTTCTGAAGGAACACTTTCCTTGACCAACTATTCAGTTTGGTAGTTTCCATTTTTATAAATACCATACTTAACTGAAACGAATTACAACACATCCAAATGGCACCTCCCCAACACCATTAAGATAATTCTAAGAAAATGAGGACGTCTAGCAAAAGACTTCAAGGATTACAGTAATGCGTTTTTTTAAGGTTCAATATGCAAACAGGACTCTTACGCAGGTTGATTTAATAGTCTGAGTTCTATTTCATGGGGTCACTGCAGGCAAAGCGATTCTTTATCTCCTCCCCATTAGTAACATACATTAACTACCCCATGGAGGTGAAGTCCTCCCTACTTTTCTCCTGTAGGTCAGAATCCTTTGGATCAAATCATCCAATTTTACTATTATAACTGCGCTTAGTCGAGTCCTAGCTTTCCTTCCTTTCTTTTTCACTGGACAAATTCCTCCAAGGCTAACACAAACCTAACATGATGTAGATAGGTAGACTAGGTCCCTAAAAAGCTCTGCATCCTGTGGGTTCCGACTGGGCATCTCCCCGCCCACCCCATCGCGGCTAGTCTCAAATGGAACACTAACAGTAGCTAAGGTAACCGAACAATTCGGAAGAAGAAACGAAAAGAGAGTTTCTCTCGTCTAGGGATTGAGAGGCTTGCTCAGAGGACAGATTTTCCATTGGGCGGGGTGGGTTGAAGACCACAGAAGTGCAAAAGCAGTAGTCTAATCTTCGAAGGCCACTGGCAGGCGCTGCCACGCTCTCAGCAGGTAGGGGGCAGAGGGAGCA